ATGATGGGAGAACCTAATAGTTTACTATATATATGCTATGTCATCTCTTTCTAGTCTATGTTTTGTTATGATAATACATTATTTTCCACCCATTGGAAGCTTGTAGACATAGAGAGAATGCACCTAGTTATTCCATGGATAATTATGCGTAGTTGTTTTAATTTCTTTTTACTTATTGTTATGGATCAAGATTGCATTGATAGAAGCTAACAAAACAACTTGTAAGTTATATTATTATGGCTTTTATTATAATACGGAATTCAAAAAATTCGGCATAAATAGAGAAACTCTATTTGCATGCCATTTGGACATGCTAGGCAGATCATAAGGTTATATATCGTTTTTCTTTTTTTAATTCTTTTTTTGAAGCTTTTAGAAAATCTTTTTTCCCCCTAAAATGCAATAATACTAAATTAATACGAGATATTTCTATTGATTTAGTGAAAGTGAGTGATTAAAACATGATTTTTATATAAATAGTAGGGTATTTGAAATTATTTTAAATACAAAGTTTTCATTTTCGGCGTTCCATCTATATAGACAAAGTTACTTAATTTTGACAATGGACAAAGTGAAAAGTCCAAATTACCCTTGATTTACCCTTTGTAGAGTACTCACTTTTTAGAAAAATAAAAAAGTGACCGACAATGTTTAAATATTGCATTAAATATAGCTGACTAACCAATTCATAGCTCTATTATCTTTCTCTCGCCATTTAAAGCAAAATTGCATGCAATAAGACTAAAAGTTGAGGGTATTTTCCTAGATTAGACCAACTACAAACAAGCAGAGTATAAAGTTAGCCTTTCAGCATGTAAATGAGGTCAAGGGCATGGCCAAATTACGGTTCCGGGAACCGGAACCGTTGGTTCGAACCGGCCCGGAACCGTAACCGGAACCGGTGAGAACCGGAACCGGGACGAACCAGAACCGGAACCGAAAAAATCCGGTTCGGTTCCGGTTCCTGCAAATGAGGAACCAAAACCGGCGGTTCCAGAGAACCGGTCGGTTCGAACCGGCGGTTCTAGCCGTTGTAACTGTCTCGAAACCGGCGGTTCTAGCCGTTTGTAACTGTCAAATTTTGAATTTTTTTTTTGTGAATGTGGTCTTATTACCCCCTGCCCAACAGCCATAAATGAGCTGTATTAACGGTAGTTTTAAAGCGGCTACATAACGGCTAGTTTCAAGGGTATTTTTAGAAAAATGAATTTTTGGATTTATTATAAATACCTCATTTTATTTACAAATTCATTACAAAAACATCTCAACTCTCTCTACAATATACTACACTCTCTACTTACTCTCTCTACCATATACTACACTCTACTCTATATTAATCATTTATTCTTCTCTACTCTACTCTATATTCTTACCATGCAAATTTTCGGGTACGCTTCTAACCTTCTTTATTTATATATTCTGAAAAAATACAAAAAGAAGACAAGTGGAGGAAACTCAAATTCGGGTAAGGGCAAGGGAAAAATTGGAGAATCATCTATCCCTACAAACGACATCTATGATATGATTCCCGACCAATGTAATTTTGAGGGTTTTCCAAATGAAAATTTGGATATTCCAACTCAAGAATCCGAATTTAATGAGCAATTTTAAGAAGATGAAGAGCAAGAGCAAGAGCTACGAGCAAAAATTGTTACAAGAGCAAGATAAAGTTCCGACATATTCTCCATTCATTTCACAAAAAAATTCAAAGGTGAGAAAATGTACGATATAATTTGCAATTTTACGATGTAATTTACGATGTAATTTGCAATTATTGTGGAAAATCTTATAAATTTAAACAAGCGGGCAGCTATGGATCATTTTGGAAGCATTTGGAGGCAAAACACCCAACAAAAATAGGAGTTGATCGGTCTCAACAACAAATTTCCGGGTACGCTTCTAACTTTTCTTTATTTAAATATTCTGAAAAAAATATAAAAAGAAGAATTAACAAAAATGATTTCTATGGAACATTTATCTTTTAGTTTTGATGAAAAATTAGGTTTTAATAATTATTGTCAAAAAGCTTTAAATCCTTGTGCTAAAAGAGAACCAAGAAATACTGTAAAACAAACTATTATTTCTTTATATAACAAAGGAAAAAAAGAGTTAGAACTTTTATTTTCTCAATTGAAAATTCGTGTTCAATTTGTGTGTGACTGTTGTGTGAGCTGATGCATTTGGCAAATTGCATTCTTATATGGGTATTACACTGTCATTGGATTGATGATGATGGAAAGAATTCAAAAAAGAATATTGGTTCGTGTTTTTGATGATAAATATACTGCAAGATATATGTAGTAGAAAGTACATTTGTTTCCAATTTTAGATGAATTATAGGTTGACAAAACAAAAATTTTTCTATTTCATTTTGATAATGCTTCTCGCAAATACTAGATGTCAATTTTGAACTTAGAAAAAAAATTTGTGAACTAAATATTGGTGGTTTAAAAGTTATTTGCAGTATTAAGATGGCTATGCGATGTTTTAGGTAATTTATGTAGTACAAGATGTGCTTTGAAAATTCTTGATTTCTTTTATTTCTCCAATTAGAAAAAAGCTATTTATCAGTATTTTATGAACACGAGATGCCCAGGAGTGCATGGAAAGAGTTGGGCTAAATTGATTAAAGTAGAAATAATTAAAAGACCAAAAACGTTGTTCCAGAAGTAATCCCCATACTCGATTGAATTTCCAAACATATGAATTTAGCTTAAACGAGTCTTTTCTTATAAAGACTTATTATGTTTTTTTGCTTACTAATAATATTTAGCGATATTAATTTATACTCCACAAATTGTAAGGAGATTTGTGCAAAAATTTGTAGATTAATTTTAAAATTTGTTAAATTGATGCACACTATAATATTTTAGTTGGGTGGTTTTGTATTATCCTCACATCTAATTTATTGGACCTATGTGTATTAAGTATTGTAGGTGCACTACAAAGGAATTATCAAAATGAGAATTTATAAATAGATTGTTATTTTTGTCAATGTGAAAAAGTAAAATGGTTATCTTTATTTTAAAGAAATATTCACCGTCTTTATCCTTGTTGCTATTGTATTTTGATCCTAGATGATAGAATGGATGTTTATGTGTATTATTTTTTTTGGTGGGACTAGTTTATTATGACGTGATTAAGATCTGATGTTGAGAAGATAATGTCCTAGATGTAAATTTGAAATTTTATTTGAATATTTGACTCTTTATTATGAAATATTAAATCTTGATATAAAAGATAGTGTTAATATAAATGTAGTTTTGTATCAAGTTAGAAAAAATATTAGAAGAGTTATATATTGAATGTGTTGAACATTCTAGTTCATCTACTTCTTCTAATTCTTCTCAATTTAATAATCAATCATTCCCAACTGAAAAGGTAAGTGTTGGTGTTGCTGAATGTATATTATTATAAAGACAAAAAAGACCTAGGGGATCTGGTTCTTTTCCCGAACTTGATAATTATCTTACCACTTCTTTCGAGTTTGGTGATAATTTTGCAGATACTAATTTTTCAATTCTAGATTGGTGGAATCGTCACGCCAATACATTCCCAACCCTTTTAATTGCAAAACAAGTTTTAGTAGCTCCGGTCTCCAATGTTATGGTTGAACAAGCTTTTAGTCAAGGAGGAAACATACTTGATGAAACACGATCTAATATGACACTCGATTCACTAGAAGCACATTAATGCGTGGATGATTAGAGCAAGGCCGAATTAAGAGCATAAGAGAATATCAAAGAAAATGACGATTTATATGATATTTACAATAGGTCCTCGATAGGAACATCAACCGGTGATGAAAACAGCGACTAAGGTAAAAGGGTGAAATTGGTAAAAGGTAAGTTGAAACTACGTGGACTTTGATTCCTCTAAATCCGAAGAGGATATGTAAGCAGCTTAATTTTTTTTTTTAAAAAAAAAAATTAAAAAAAAAATAAGTTCAAGCCCATTTTTTTTTTTTAATTTTCAAACTTAAATAATTAAAAAATTCAGTTCAAAATTGGTTTTTAAAAAAGAAAATCATTATGTGCAACACTCAATCAATTCAAGTCTTTTAAAAAAAAATAATAATTTAAGTTGAGTATTTTTTAATTTTTTTAGTGTTGGTATTTTTTAAATTTTTTATTTCAGAATAATGTTTTTTTAAACCGATCTCAAATTTAAAAGTTTTTAGGTGTATTTTTTAATTTTTTGGTATGTTATATATAATTTTTTTTAACGGTCTTCATATTTTAAAATTTTTTAACTGTATTGTTTCAATTTTTTGATGTTCGAGCATAAATTGTGTTTTTAAAGCAAAGGGTATCCCAAAAAATTTAAAATTTAAAATTATCTGGAGGCCGGGAAAACCAATCGGACCGGTCGGTTTTGTAATCGGATCGGAACTGGAAAAACGGAACCAGAAGCGGTACGGGTTCGCGAACCGGGAGAACCAGAAGCGGACGGTTCGAACCGGAACGGACCATTTCGGTTCGGTTCGGGGAGACTCGGGCGACCGGCCGCCGGGTTCCGGAACCCGTGGCCATGGTCTAGGTCAAGCGAAAGCTCAAGTCAGGCATGTGCCGAGTTTCGACAAGAGTTCAACTCAAGATTCAACTCATTTACAACCCTAGCTTAACTTAATCAATTTTAAATTCCAATTTTTTTTTGAAAGGATTTTAAATTCCAATTGATCAAAGAAATCTCTTATCTTGAGCTATAAGATCGCCTACCGACATCACCCTAGAGTACTACCGATCAAGCATAAATAATAAATAAACAAATAATAAATGTACCATTAAAATAAAAAAAATACAACTTAATCAAACTAATCTAGTTCGATTTTTAAGATTTTTGATAATCTCAGTTTCAATTATACTAAAAAATAGTTTTTTTTTTTCCCAAACTGAATGGAACCAGAAACACACTGATCTAAACAACCAATATCGTAAGCGATCCTGTTCAATTCCAAAGTTCAGTTTAAGAAAAAATGAAAATTCAATTCCAAAGTTCAGTTTAAGAAAAAATGAAAATTAAATTTATAGTTTTTGCAGTTTGGTTCGGAACAGAACTGCTTGATTCCACAGCGCCCTAAATAATTGCACTGAAAATAATAGTAAGAACAAATCTATGTCCAACCGTTCCATCTTTCAACATAGGTTTTTTATCAACCAGAATAAAAGCTAATTACATAAAAAAAAAATTAAAAATAAAAAAAGATGTGCCTTTTCATTTCATTGGCAGCAGGGTGATGCAGTCCTCGAGTGAGGTATTGTACAAAGTCGTACGGAGCAAAGATACTGCTGATCAACCTTTGTTGCAGTATCTCAGTACAAATTATCTCAGTATCTCAGTTCAGATATAGCTGAAATTTTATTGCAACAGGAATGTGCCCAGAAATATCTCATTACTCCACTGATAAACCAAAGGCTTGAACAAAGCCCATTTTATCTGCAAGTACAAATTATGGGCTTAAACAGAATTGAAACGTATTACTTCATTCATTCCATAATTTTTGTCCTACTCAGTTGGTACATAAATAAAGCAAATACCTTTTGGTGAAAAATCTCCAGGCATCAATTTATAGATGAACACTTAATCTTCTAATTTTTGGCTCTCTGGCTTTTTATATCTGGTAAACATGGGAGAAATAGGTTGGATTGGTATGTTCTTGAGGGTTTTGTCGAAGGTGATTAAGATATTTGGAGAAATAGAACACAATGGTGACAGGCTCTAAAGGAGGGAATCAAGAGACCTGTTGATATTGTTCCACCAATGAAGGAAAACGACGACAATGGAGATGAAAAGGTTGGTGAGAATGCAATCAGATTTTGAAAAGCACCTTATTCTTTGTCATCATTAGCAATTTATAGAGTTTTGGAACAATCAACGTCTCATTTTCCAATTGAATCCTTTCCGTTTCTTCTAGAAAATTCCTTAACCGACCAATAGCAAGCAAAAACAAGACAAGTTCAGATTTGGGTTTGTTTTGCAAAAACAAGCATTTGAGCTACAGCTACAGAACCAGAGTCACAGATGAACACCATCTGAGAATTGGGACTAAGATTTAACTTGAAATGTAGATGCAAGAACAAGCATGTTGAGCTACAGCTGACGAGAGAACAGAGGCACAGATGAACACCTATGCTGAGATTGGGACTAAGATTTAAGCTTGATGAATGTAGAGAGAGAGTTGGAACGAGAAACAATAGAGACACAGTTATGTTATGTTTTGACCAAAATTTTGTTTGCTTTTGTTTGGTTCACCAGTTTTGTAATTTGGGATAATGTAGGGTTCCTCGTTGAGAAATTTTGAAGGAGTGGATTGTATTCTTTTGCAGATTATTGTGCGTTTTTTGTCTTTGGTGTGTGTGATTTCTCTTGTTTTCTTCAGAGTGGGTGAGCTTATGGGTTTTAGTACTATTAAGTGGTTGGGGGTGGTGAGAGGGAGAGAGGAAGGAAGAAGAGGCAAAGGATGAAATTGGAGAGGAGAGGGTTTGGTGCTTTCAGGTGAGAAAAGTAAGAAATTGGAGAGAGAGGTTGTGCTCAGGTGAGAGAAAGAAAGACTTGTGAGCTATAAAAATTTTAATCATTTTTAAGCTAGCATGGCGTCCAACTGGCATTCCAGCAGCCAGAGTTGATTTAAATCGACAAAAATCATTTTGCTGTGACACCTATAAAAGATTAGTAACTTAAGTGATGAACTGAATAGGGACGACAAAAAGAAAAAGGGTTGAATTCAAGGACAGCGGGTAAACTTAAGCCAAACAATTTAGTACGAGTCATTTAATTATAATAGAATGACATGTATCTACTAAGTAATATTAGGAAAAAAAAAACTAAGCAAAAATTATAGTTTAACCATATTAACTATATATAATTTTGTTAACACAGGTAAAAGTCAAACTAGGACAAGAATTATGGGATGAAGGGAATATTGCTTGTTATCACAGCACAACCGGCATCAGTTGAGATATGAATGGGGTATTAATGGTTGAAATAAATCCAGAAGCGGGGGAGAGATAAGAGAGAGAGATCACAATTTAATGAAGTTCCAAACTCATAATTTCTTCCAACAGTACTCTGAAAGGAACACACCTGATTATTTCTAGTTTGCTGACAGATCTTGGAAACCACAGACCATAGTAGCAGGAACAGCTATGTCAATCATCTTAGGATACGGAAGTTTCAGATCTGGAAAATAATTCATCATATGTAAGAACTCAAGAATGAATATAATATCGAGTATAATAGATGCTGAAGTATCTCTTGACACTTACTTTCCATGATGGTTTTAAAGGCTTCCTACAAACAGATTATACCAATTACCACAACAATTAGAGATAATGGTGGGAAGTATTCATATCAGGAAAACCACGTAAAAATGTGAATGATATAAATAACTAATATAAATACTGTACATAATTCTGCCAAAATTAATGATAATGAATCAGCAGGCAAAGAAACCAATGAATTATTTTTAATGTGTTGTTGAGATTTGAAAAATTTTGTGAGATACTCATTAGCTATTTGACAAATTTTGGAGGAAATTTTAATTTCATATTAGTTTATTTTATACTTATCCTACAAGTATAGTTTATTTTATACTTATCCTACAAGTAAGATTAAGATAGGCAGCAAGCATGTATTGCTTGTAATCTTGGAAAGTTAAGCATTAGAATGGTTAAAATTAACTTATGGTTGAGGTATGGCACTATCTTAAGGCCATCCACTTTGCACTTATTCTATGTAGAAACTCTAAAATATACAAGAGTTGCTGCAATCAATGAAATCTGCCATATTGAGGTTCATTTTACAAAACCTGTAATTTGAGCGTGTATTATGTTGTCACCTCTGCCATTTATAACATATATCAAAAAGGAAAGAAAGAAAAGCCCGACTAAATTGCACAATTCCAGTAGGTTACACGTTGGTTTGTCTTGAAGGTATTTTGATAGGTGTTACCTAGAAATAATAATTTAACAAAAAAAAAAAAGAAAAAAAAGAAAAAAAAAGGAAGATCAACATGTTATGTCATAAGGATCACCTCATCTTTGGTTAGCCTGGGATTGTACAGCATTTCCTCTCCAACAGTACTAACCTGTGCGTCACACAAAGGTTAGCAGATCAGCTGGACAAATGAGATATATAACAGAGGTAAGAAATGGCTCCATACAGTGAATCCCTTGTAATCATGAGCAGGATAGATCAAAGTATCCTTGGGCAAGGTGAATATCTGCTTCCAACAAAAATACAGCCAGGTTAACTCATGTTTCATTATCTGGACACTTTCTAGTTTATTCATTTCATGTCCTTGCCTGTGAATGCACTGACTGATAAAGTTGATGTGAACTTCCGCCCTGTAAGTAAATATTTGTAAGTAAATATTAATAAGGTCAGAAACACTGCTTGATATCTTCTATACAATGTACCCTTAAGAAAAATCGAGTGCTCAGTAACATTCCAAAATATAAGTTAGCAAACCTGAAAATCAGTTCTCCCACATCCCCGTATTAGTAAAGCGTCCCTAGTAAAAACCATCTTTGGTTGTGGCTAATCAGGCCCATCTCCAGTAAGATAAGTAACACAACCTAATGTATGCCCAGGGGTAGCTCGAACCTGCCAAAATAAAATAACAAATGATTGGGTCCAGTAATGGGTGGATAGATAGAGACAAAAAGATGAAATGAACAAAAATCAATGTGCAAAAACAGTGAAAAGATAATAAATGCATTGGTTGCTGCTCTGCTACTCTTGTACATATTATATTTGGTATATGCATTTGCAACATGACAATAAATGCAATTACCATCTATCATGTATCGTCACACACTGACGATGGCTTTCGCAGGTTATCAACTCGATATCAGACACATTCAATATCATGTGCAGAAGCACTTTTTCGTTAGACGGGAATGCTTTTGCAATCTTTCTAAGTTTACTATGTTTCTGGTACTCACTTTAATACTATTGTTCTCTTGATGTCATCAAGTAATACTATTTTTTCTCTAATATTATTCTCTGTACTATTCTAACAAATTAACGCTTCAAACTTTAAAAAAGAAAAAGGGAAAAAGGTTATTAACACTTCCATTTATGAATTGTGCTTAGTAAGTGCAGCCTCCAGCAATCAAAAACACACAGACCAACTAAAGATTGACTCTACCAGATAGTTTTGACTCTGTTTCTAGGTATAATGTTAAGAGGTTCTTTGGCAAAAGGTATAATAACTCACATTTAAAATATAAGAAAGGAGGGAAAAACTAAGCCCATGAACATTAAAATTGTAGAAATTTAAAAAGCAATATGCCACTATGCATTTCGATTATTGAAAGCGTCTAGAATTCTAACACCAATTTTGGGACCAACTTTAATTACTCAAATATCTCTTTGCTCTTTGTGTTTTATGTATAACCTGCTTTATGATTCTTTTATGATTAAAGATAATGCTTACTAAGAATAGTACTGGACCGGCATCCTAAGTTGCAAAACAAAATTAGAACCTTCTTGAAAATGTGAACCTATAAATTTGGAGCCATCACCCCAATGACATATTCAAAACAAGATTGTGACGTAGAATCCTTACAACATTATGAAAAAATTAAGTCAAATACTTCTCAAAACAATCCTTGCATACACAGCTGAGTTTCGTGTTTATCATGAATCAAAGAATGAAGTATTGGAAGCTATTTGGATGATTATTTTTTAGTGCTCATAAACTTCGTGATAATGTAGTTTATAAATTTGCTTTGGTTGCTGGGATCAGAAAAGATTGACTTGCATCTTCTTTAACTCCAGCTATTAATCCTAGATTATGAAATTTCATATAATTTCATATTTTTTTTTTTTTTTTTTTTTTGGTAAGAAATATCAAGAGTTGGTTGCTTCATCTAACTTCCAAGGAACCCCTTTCCTTTGCTGCTAAAATTATTTGCCACAAACGACTGTTGAACCTTAATCTAACAACAATCTTTATCGGCAGAATAAAGATAACACTACAATCTGTATAGCCAAGATAACACTACAATCTTTATAGCCTAATGTTCTGCACACTTCTTTTTTCTCTTAAAACAAGTTACAAATATCCAAATTTTGCCAAATACCCACATCTTTTAAGTTGGAAGGCAATGTTAAAATTTGCCTTTTATTTCAGCATACATATGCAGATTTAAAATATCCAGGATAGGCTGACAGAATTAAGAATCTGAAGATTTTAGGATATTTGAGATGATTCGGCCTTTCTTCGATTACTTTGCACAAAAAAGCTACATTACAAAAGCTAGTAAAATGAATGGTACCTCCAGAAACAAATCGCCGTAATGTATTTTATCACCAGCTTGAATGAGAAGATCAGCTTTTGAATTGCTAGCTTTTGCAATAATAGATTTCACGTCAAGAAGCTTTGTCTACAAATTGAGCATAAAAACTGATGAAACATTTGCGTTTATAAATGTAATTTGCAAATTAAATGCAGCCAAACCTTTATCAATCCAGTTCCTGTCACATGATCAGCATGCACATGAGCATTTATAGCATAAATTAGCTTTAACCCTAACTCTTTTACAAGGGTGAGGTCTCTGTCTACTGTTTTATCAACTGGATCAATCAACTGCACAGAAAAGGTTATCACACACACACACACACACACACACACACACACATATATATTATATATATATATAATATATATTAGATCACAAGAATTAAAGAAAAATTGATGATAAAAGAAAACGAAAAAAAGAGAACCAGTGAGGTTGGATCAAGGGTGAGCAACATCAGCGAGCAACATAGGTATAGTAGAGGACTCCTTCTCGACAAAAGCTGGCGAAAAACAAGAGCTTGCTTGAGAAAGGTCCCCAGAAGCGAAACCGACGCCAGCATAATTGCTCATTGCGCGCAGAATCTGGCACTGCGTATTGCGACTTTGAAAAGGAATGATTGAAAAGGATGATGGCGTCGAAAGAGAAAGTCGAAGCATATTTAAACGAAGCATTGTTGTTATGATATTCAATTTGGCGGTGAAATCGGGCAGCACTTCGCTAAATTGTGCTATTATTGAAAGTGATTCGATGTTGAACCTATCGCCCGTGCCTCCACTCTTTTATCTTCTTTAAGGGACAAAGACAAAAACGTTCAAGCCAACTTCAAGCAATTTATTTGTATTAAATTGCTTGAAGTTATCAGCAGATTAATGTGCAAAAAATAATATTGACACTGAAAAATTTTTTCTCACTAAATGAGATTAAATTTAAAAATTTTAAAGCCTTATGTATTTATTTAAAAGATATTTTAAAAAAAATTAAATTCTCAAATGTCTAATTATTTTATATGTAATTTTTAAAAAGTATTTTTAAAAAATTACATATAATTAAATCATAAAAAATTAAATGAAATTCAAAATAATAGAATAAAATATTGAATAAAAAGAACGAAATATGTCTAAATAATCATTTTTTCATTAATTCAAACTTCTATAGTTTACTTTTTTTCAAAAAATTTATTAGACTAAAAAAGGAATTCGTATTTGATATATTAGTCAAATTTATAATTTTATACTTCTATTTTTTTATTAAAATTAGAATTATAAAAAATTTTAAAATATAATAATATATAAATAATCCAAATACGTGAAAATCATAAAAAAATAATATATTTAAAAAATTTTATTTTAATTTCATTTTATTTAACTAAAAGACTCTAATAATAATTATTCATCATATTTTAAAAAATTCAAAATAAGTTAGAAGAATTTAAATTTTATTTTCAATGCTTAAATTAAAATTTTCGATTTCCCCGCCAAACTAAACCAAAACTAAGCCCCTGGATATGATCAAAACTCCCTTGTTTTTTACAACAAAACGCACTGTTTTGATTTAGTCTAAAATCCCTAATTTCATCGCTCCCCTTCTTTCTTCTCCATCTTGTTCCTTCTTGATAATAACTTGTATGCACTCACCAAATCCCTAATCTCATCTTCCCTTCTTATTAATCTTGGTCATTTCTCACAACTTCCTCTCATGATATCTATTTTCCTAGCCTACTTCAATTTATGATGTTTTAAGCCATTGAATCGATTATGAAGAAATGTGATTATTGAATCGATTATGAAGAAATGTGATTGTTGAATTATTGATTCCTTCTTGAAATAGATTGCATTTACAGGAGTTGTTTATCCATGCTTGGTTCTTGCTTATATGGGTGGAGATGCTTATCTTTCCAAGCACAAAGAGGATCTTCAAAGAAGTTTTTACAAGGCTATACCAGGTAAAGTGCTAAAGAAATTGATACATAGTAGTTGAGTTATCCATTTGGTGCTTTCTCTTATATTTTGTCCTTCTTCTTTACTTCTTTTCGAGGTCATATTTTGGCCAGTATACTTTTAACTATCAAAATTTTAAAATATGATAGTTTAGTGACTCATGTAAAATCCACATGGCTAATACTAGCCAATGTGTTTCTAATCCAGATTGTAAAAATCCAGATTGTAAATGAGGGTAGGATATGCTTACAGAGGATCCAATGTTGACTCAACCAGTTTTGGGTAGGTCGTATAATGTGTATAGATATCAATAGAATGAGTAGGGATAATTAGTTAATATCTGGCACCATCCATAAGGGTATACAATCATACCTAACAGATAAGATAGATACCATGGGCTAATGTTCAGCATACCCTAATGTAATGTTGAAAATATTATGACCATCCAGGCTATTCATACCCAAATATATTGATGCATGGGTGTAGATTTATCATAGCCATAGAAAATTTTTCAGGCTAATATCATAACTTCCACCTGGCCCATGGGACATTGAAATACGGGTTATTATATCCAATTGGTTGGATATGATAATTATGTCACCAACCATACGGGTCATACGACTAATTGGTATATAGATACCCTTAGATAATAAGATTCATTCTTATCTAATTTATTCATAGATAATTGGATATAATAACCCATATACATCAAGCTAAGTTAAAAAAAAGGGTATCCCAAAGTCTCCATATACCAACAATTACACAATATATCTCAGTATGATAATTAAACACCATCTAGGATAGGTATACCTAGAATATACCTATAAGTATGATATCACCAGTGATTCTGCTGAGCTCAACCAGTATTGATATATCCAGGTACCATAAGTGTAATGGCTATGTGTATCATACTATTTCATATCGTAACGGTTGGGTACGCATATTAGTTGGGTTGATTATATGAATGATCATCCTAATAAGATAGGGCTGATAATACTTATTGGCCGGTTAATAATGGGGTAGTGACCTATTATGGGACAATCCAGATTGTCCTAGTATCTACGTGTTTGATTTGTCATGTATGATCATTGACCATTGAAGTAGTTGATCAATGTCATTTCTATCTAAATTATACCTTTCTAAAATTAAATTATAGCTATAGTCAATATTTTTATCATCCAGTATACCAAGTTATTATCAAGTCCAATTTAATGATCATAAATATATACCAATGATGTCTAGGGGCAAATATACATCCCTTACTCCTCAAAATATATAAGTATTCTGCTTATAAGGCTCATTGTAATTCAGATCATGATACAAAATTTTATAGATTAATATTCCCTGCATTATGTTCGTGCTTATCAATATAAGGACAAATCTTGATTTAGATTTTGTATCGAAGTTTGCGATGCATCAGATTGTAAGTAACACTATCAGAATACAACTGTGGATATGGTTTAGTCATATAACATGCTTGGGGTCATTCTCGTACGATTAGTATTATAGACGATTAAGTATTATAGATGCAAGCATCATGTTCCTAAGTGGTTGTATTAATTATGCTAATATATGCCTAACTTGATACCATATGTGTGTCCATCTTAGCTATTAGAAGAGATCAGTTTTGACCAACTAAGTGTTTAGCTAGGTTATATCTAGTAAATCATTCTAATGTAAATGCATATGTCATTTATGGGGCATCATTGGATTTGACCCTTATTAATATCTATATATAGGTACCTTGGACACATCATTGAACATGATGGATCAAGTGATAACTCCCAAATGTCATGGATATGGGCAAATGAATATCTGCTAACCTTGATTAAATTTGCCCCAATTCCATCCTAGTAATGGAATTGATGTGGCTATATTTCACTGGATATGCATTCGACACTATATAGGTGGAAACAATGCATTTAATTCATACATGATACAGAGCAATATGTATTGGTACAATAGTCTTAATAATCATCTATGCCAGCTGATATGAGTCACTACTATTAACCACAATATCAATTAATAGCACAATCTATTTTATTCCTTAACCAGTGGTACTTATCAATATGGTTATTCCTATGCATATGCATACAATAAACTTCATTCCTATCTCATGATTAACTAATGAATATTCCAGATGGATAAGATTAACCATCTTAATGTATACGTGTATTGTATTTAATGATCATTTAGGAATATTCCAGACCTAGTACCACACATAGGAGTACCAACTAAAAATTCCATATGCCTGTGGATATGCTTATCACACTCAACCAGACTGGTAGTCTTTTTTATGTCACCAATATGAGTGCTAATTATTTGGGTACCAACTTTCAGTTAGTTTAGCTCTCAATGACTCCAAATTATAGACATATCAACCTTAACTAGGTCCAGTCAAGGACCTAGTATATGATCACTGTATACTACGATTATAGCCCCCCAATTAATTAGGAAAAGTATCCCTTATATCTGGAATCTGTTGGACCATTATGAAGAATAGTGACCATACTTAGTATGTATCATACCCATAGAGCTTCATTGCATACTTCAATCATAGTAAGGGCAATATTTAAAAGTATAGCTTTCTGAAGTTATAACTATAGTCAGTATACTTATGAGGTATATGCTGCGTATAACTTGAATATATCGAGTTTATATCCTATGGTGTGTTATAGGATCATAATAAATATACCCAGTATTTATTAAATATTTGGTTAATTTATGTGCTGTGATATATAGCTAGATATTTATCAGATTACCAACCATGTCATGGTGGTATTAAATTAAGTAAATATGGCATTTTATATGGTATTAAATTTAATTTTTATGGTATTAAATTATATTCTCAAATGTCTAATGTTAAGATAATTAGAATGTTAAAATAATTAGACATTTGAGAATTTAATTTTTTTAAAAATATTTTTTAGATAAATATATAAGGCTTTAAAATTTTTAAATTTAATCTCATTTAGTGAGAAAAAATTTTTCAGTGTCAATATTGTTTTTTGCACATTAATCTGCTGAGAACTTTGCACATATAATCTGCTGAGAACTTCAAGCCAATTTAATCAAAATAAATTGCTTTTGAAGTTGCCTGAACGTCTTTGTCTTGTCCTTAAGAGCAAGATAAAAGAGTGGAGGCACGGCGGCGATAGGTTCAACATTGGAATCACTTTCAATAATAGCAAGAAACAAAGCACAATTTAGCTAAGTGCTGCCCGATTTCACCGCCAAATTGAATATCATAACAACAATGCTTCGTTTAAATATGCTTCGACTTTCTCTTTCGACGCCATCATCCTTTTCAAAGTCGCAATACGCAGTGCGCAGATTCTGCGAAATGAGCAATTATGCGGCGTCGTCTTCTGGGCTCTCAAGCAATCTCTTGTTTCGCCAGCTTTTCGAGAAGGAGTCCTCTACTTATACCTATTTGCTGGCTGATGTTGCTCACCCTATCAACCTGCTCTGGTTTTCTTTTTTTCTTTTTTTTATCATCAATTTTTCTTTATTCTTGTGATCTAATTATATATATATATATATATATATTAATATTATATATATATATAGATTATATATATATATGTGATAACCTTTTTTCTGTGCAGTTGAATTGATCCAGCTTGAATAAAACAGTGGACAGAGACCTCTCCTTGTAAAAAGTTAGGGTAGAAAGGCCCCTAATTTATGCTATAAATACTCATGTGCATGGCTGATCATGTTGACGGGAATGGATTTTGATAAAGTTTGGCTGCATTTAATTTGCAATTACATTTAATAAACGCAAATGTTTCAACTCAGTTTTTTGCCTCATTTGCAGACAAAGCTTCCTGGCGTGAAATCTATTATTTCAAAGCTAGCAAATTCAAAAGCTGATCTTCTTCATTCAGCTGGTGATAAATACAAATTCGGGCGATTCTTGTTTCTTGGAGCGGCGATTTGTTTCTGGAGGTACCATTCATGTTATTAGCTTTTGTAATGTAGCTTTTTTGTGCAAAGTAATTGAAGAAAGGCCGAATCATCTCAAATATCCTAAAATCTTCAGATTCTCAATTCTGTCAGCCTATCCTGGATATTTTAAATCTGAATATGTACGCTGAAATAAGAAGCAAATTTTAACATTGCCTTCCAACTTAAAAGAAGTGGGTTTTTGGCAAAATTTGGATATTTGTAACTTGTTTTAAGAGAAAAAAGAAGTGTGCAGAACATTAGGCTATACAGATTGTAGTGTTATCTTTATTCTGCCGATAAAGATTGTTGTTAGATTAAGGTTCAACAGTCGTTTGTGGCAAATAATTTTAGCAGCAAAGGAAAGGGGTTCCTTGGAAGTTAGATGAAGCAACCAACTCTTGATATTTCTTACCAAAAAAAAAAAAAAAAAAAAAAAATACTAAGAAAATATGAAATTTTCATAATCTAGGATTAAAGCTGGAGTTAAAGAAGATGCAAGTCAATCTTTTCTGATCCCAGCAACCAAAGCAAATTTATAAACTACATTATTTCCTTGAAGTCACCAAGTTTATGAGCACTAAAAAATCATCCAAATAGCTTCCAATACTTCATTCTTTGATTCATGATAAACACGAAACTCAGCTGTGTATGCAACCTCTATTATTTTATCCGTGCTCCTATTGGGTTTTGTGTTCTGTTTTAAGAATAGCTAGCTTTAAACTTCCATGCTTAACCTTATGATTATTGATTTGATTATCACACATTGATCTTGATGCCACAAAACAATATTCAAAGGAGAGAAGAAAACTCTTCCAAAGATACAAGATACCCCTCAGATGAGCACATAGAATATTGTTACAACCTTAGTAATAGTAATTTTTCACTTTATAGAACACTTGGCTTCTCAAAGTACAGTCTTTATCCTCTAAGTAGTCCATTTGAAATCCTGTTCTCCAATTTATGAGATGAAGCATGAAGGTTTCAAATTAAGAAGAGGAGCAGCCAACAAATTGGCAGTGAATAGTCATACTGAAATCTAAAAAAGGAAAAATTAGGTAGCTGAATGTGGTATTATTTCGTTGTAGATTGTAGAATCAATATATAGCTTGGCTTATGTCTGATAGATCTAAAAAGAATTGACAATTTGGCAAAAGATAAAAACAATACCATTGGGCACAAACAAGAAGGAGAGGAATCAGGTCCACAATATCCTTTTTAAGTGTAGGACAACATTTAAAATAGTGATATAGGACCCAATGTGAATTTCTCATCTCTGGTAGGTCCACTGAAGTTTTCTAAATCCAGCCTGCTGTATTGGCATATGTATATGCATATTGGCATATGTATATGCAAATTCCATTACAAAGTGACTTATATGATTTGGCACCAATAATTTGATCTAAAATGTCTAATTATTACTATTGATAGTCTTCCTTTTGAGAAGTATTTGACTTAATTTTTTCATAATGTTGTAAGGATTCTACGTCACAATCTTGTTTTGACTATGTCATTGGGGTGATGACTCTAAATTTATAGGTTCACATTTTCAAGAAGGTTCTAATTTTGTTTTGCAACTTAGGATGCCGGTCCAGTACTATTCTTAGTAAGCATTAGTGTTCTTTTAATCATAAAGCAGGTTATACATAAAACACAGAGCAAAGATATATTTGAGTAATTAAAGTTGGTCCCAAATTCGGTGTTACGACATTTTAGACGTTTCAATAATCGCAATGATAGTGGCATATTGCTTTGTTAAATTTCTAACAATTTTAAAATGTTCATAGGGCTTTAGGTTTTTCCCCTTCTTTCTTTTATTTTTTTAAATTTAGATGTGAAGTTATTATTATGTGAGTTATTATACCTTTTGCCAAAGAACCTCTTAACATTATACCTAGAAACAGAGTCAAAACTATCTGGTAGAGTCAATCTTTAGTTGGTCTGTGTGTTTTTGATTGCTGGAGGCTGCACTTACTAAGCAAATTCATAAATGGACTTACTAAGTTGTTAAAAGTTTTTTTCTAACCTTTTTTTTCCCTTTTTCTTTTTTAAAGTTGAAGGTTATTTGTAGAATAGTACAGAGAAATAATATTAGAGGAAAAGAGTATTACTTTGATGACATCAAGAGAAAATAGTATTAAAGTGGGTACAGAAAAATAGTACTAGAAAGATGCAAAATGCATTCCCTCTAATGAAAAAGTGCTCTGCACATGATATGAATTGTGTCTGAGATTCAGTGATAACCTGCCAAGCCAAGCCATCGTTCATGACGATACATGGTAGAATGGTAATGCATTATTGTCATTGCAATGCATATACCAAATATAATATGTACAAGAGAAGCAAGAGCAACCAATGCATTTATTATCTTTTCACTGTTTTTGCACATTGATTTTTGTTCATTTCATCTTTTTGCCTCTATCTATCCACCCATTACTGGACCCAATCATTTGTTATTTTATTTTGACAGGTTCGAGCTACCCCTGGGCATACATTACTTATCTTACTGGAGATGGGCCTGATCAGCCACAACCAAAGATGGCTTTTACTGGGGACGCTTTACTAATACGGGGATGTGGGAGAACTGATTTTCAGGTTTGCTAACTTATATTTTGGAATGTTACTGAGCACTCGATTTTTCTTAAGGGTACATCTTAAGGGTACATTGTGGTAGAAGATATCAACGTGTTTCTGACCTTATTAATATTTACTTACAGGGCGGAAGTTCACATCAACTTTATCAGTCAGTGCATTCACAGGCAAGGACATGAAATGAATAAACTAGTAAGTGTACAGATAATGAAACATGAGTTAACCTGGCTGTATTTTTGTTGGAATCAGATATTCACCTTGCCCAAGGATACTTTGATCTATCCTGCTCATGATTACAAGGGATTCACTGTATGGAGCCATCTTACCTCTGTTATATATCTCATTTGTCCAGCTGATCATGCTAACCTTTGTGTGACGCACAGGTTAGTACTGTTGGAGAGGAAATGCTGTACAATCCCAGGCTAACCAAAGATGAGGTGATCCCCAAAGATGAGGTGATCCCCTTATGACATAATGTTGCACTTATATCTTCCTTTTTTTTTTTTTCTTTCTTTTTTTTTTTTTTGTTAAATTTTATTCTAGCTAACACCTATCAAAATAGCTTTCAAGCAAACTCAACGTGTACCTACTGGAATTGTGCGACTTTAGTCGGGCTTTCTTTCTATTTTCCTTTTTGGGATACATGTTATAGAATGGCAGAGGTGACAACAATAATACACGCTGTCAATTCCCAGGTTCTGTAAATGAAACCCTCAATAAATGGCAGATTTTCATTTTGATTGCAGCAAACTCTTGTATATTGAGAGTTTCTACCATAGAATAAGTGCCTGCAAAGTGGATGGCCTTAAGACAGTGCCATACCTCAACCATAAGTTAATTTTAACCATTCTAATGCTTAACTTTCCAAGCTTAGAAGCAATACATGCTTGCTGCCTATCTTAATCTTACTTGTAGGATAAGTATAAAATAAACTAATATGAAATTAAAATTTCCTCCAAAATTTGTCGAGTAGCTAATGAGTATCTTACAAAAATTTTCAAATCTCAACAACACATAAAAAATAATTCATTGGTTTCTTTGCCTGCTGATTCATTATCATTAATTTTGGCAGAATTCTGTACATTATTTATATTAGTTATTTATATCATTCATATTTTTACGTGGTTTTCCTGATATGAATACTTCCCACCATTATCTCTAACTGCTGTGGTAATTGGTATAATCTGTTTGCAGGAAGCCTTTTTGCAGGAAGCCTTAAAACGAAATCAATGGAACGTAAAGTGTCAAGAGAATACCTTCCGCATCGATTATAATCATATTCATTCTTTGAGTTCTTACATATGTGAATCTATTTTCCAGATCTTGACAACTTCCTATCCTAAGATGATGACATAGCTGTTTCTGCTAATATGTTCTGTGGTTTTCCAAGATCTGTCAGCAAACTAGAAACAATCAGGTGTGTTTTCAGAGTATTCGTTGGTGGTAATTTCTGTTTCTCGTCCAATCTACATTTCAAGTTAAATCTTAGTCCCAATTCTCAGATGGTGTTCATCTGTGACTCTGGTTCTGTAGCTGTAGCTCAAATGCTTGTTTTTGCAAAACAAACCCAAATCTGAACTTGTCTTGTTTTTGCTTGCTATTGGTCGGTTAAGGAATTTTCTAGAAGAAACGGAAAGGATTCAATTGGAAAATGAGACGTTGATTGTTCCAAAACTCTATAAATTGCTAATGATGACAAAGAATAAGGTGCTTTTCAAAATCTGATTGCATTCTCACCAACCTTTTCATCTCCATTGTCGTCGTTTTCCTTCATTGGTGGAACAATATCAACAGGTCTCTTGATTCCCTCCTTTAGAGCCTGTCACCATTGTGTTCTATTTCTCCAAATATCTTAATCACCTTCGACAAAACCCTCAAGAACATACCAATCCAACCTATTTCTCCCATGTTTACCAGATATAAAAAGCCAGAGAGCCAAAAATTAGAAGATTAAGTGTTCATCTATAAATTGATGCCTGGAGATTTTTCACCAAAAGGTATTTGCTTTATTTATGTACCAACTGAGTAGGACAAAAATTATGGAATGAATGAAGTAATACGTTTCAATTCTGTTTAAGCCCATAATTTTTTTTTTTTTTTTTTTTTTTTTTTTTTTTTTTTTTTGATGATGATGGTTAGATTGGAGGGCGGTATTGGTGGTGGTTGGTTAATTGGATTTTTTTTATTTTATTAATTGTGTTTTGATTGGTTGTGAGGGGGTGAAAATGTTGAAGTTGCAAACTGGGAGAGAAGACAAAAGATGAAGGAGAAAGAAAAGGAGGAAAGAAAGTGTTTTCGCTGAAGTCGAAGAGAGTGTTGTTGTTGAGATGTAAAAAAATTTTAATCATTTTTTAAGCCAATACGGTGTCTAGTCGACATTCCGATAGCCGGAACTGAATTAAATCAAAAAAGTCGTTTTACTGTTACACTTATAAAAGATTGTCAATTTCTAAGAGATGAATTGAAGTTTACGAATGGCAGAGAAAGGGGAACAACACCAGGTAAAATTAAGCCAAATTATGCTTGAAATTGAAAGTTGAGAATAAATAGGAAAGGGGAACAACAACAACAGTGTTTTTCATTCATGCCTTTCTGCTGCAAATACAAGAGAATAAATAGGAAAAGAGCGTAACAACTTGATCCTATGCTTAAGGCCATACTTAAGGCCATAAATGGCACTTATTAGATAAACTAGCTAGATTTTGCTTCCAAAAATCAGAGAGCAAATTGACTTATTCAATAACAAATAAACAAAAAAATAAAATAAAATAATATTGCAGCAGACCAACAAACTTAAGCAGAGGCTTAGCCCAAATATTTTCTGTTTTGGATAGGCATCCTTGAGGACCTCCGTGGCTTATCACACCCTCTTGCAGCAGAAGTAGCAGTGGCCAAACCAGGTTAGATTGATTGATCTATTAAAGGTGGAGAAAGAGAGAAAGAGAAGAAGTTGAGAAAGGAAAAGGCTAGGGACATGGAGGTAATTAAAAGAGTCCGTTTAAGTCAGTTAACTAAAGTTATTAGGTGGATCCAATTATATTATTATTTTATTCACCCTTCTAACTCTAATATTTTTTTTAAAATGATCCTGAATATAATTTTAGAGTGCTAATATATCTAAATTTTAGAATTAGGGTGTCCGGAGTATAAAGGTCATTTTAGAGTGAATATGCAATAAGTCTAAAAGTTGAGGGTATTTTCCTAGATTAGACCAACTACAAACAAGCAGAGTTTAAAGTTAGCCTTTCAACATGTAAATGAGGTCAAGTAAGCTCAAGTTCAGGCATGTCCGAGTTTCACAAGATTCAACTCATTTACAACCCTAGCAAGATTCAACTCATTTACAACCCTAGCTTAACTTAATCAATTTTAAATTCCAATTTTTTTTTGAAAGGATTTTAAATTCCAATTGATCAAAGAAATAGGGGATATGCCCTTCTAGTTTAGGGTATTTACTTGTGCATGCCCCATTGTACTAGCTTAGTTTAACAATCTATTGGATAATGTATTTAATAATTATGGAAACATTATGATCCACCCTCCTATGGGTATAACAAGCAACTACATATCCCCAGTATTATAATGTTGTGTAAATTGTCTATCACTATCATAGGTATTACCCAACTATTTACATAGATACCTCTTGGTAATTTGGAATATTCTACCAAATCAATATACTGAAAGGGACTTGCATAATTCATTAGGGTATCCTCACTACTCTTGTAATCTTGACATATACTTATGTGGTATCAGGTTAAGTGACCTGTCATAACCTATACACTATGCCATAGTTATAATATTCCCCTTGCATACCATAAATAGTGTATAGATTTGTTAACCATGCATACCCTGTTCAAACTAATGTTACCTTTGAGTCCCCTCTCGAGCGCCATGGAAAAGATCCGAATGACGAAATTTAACCAGACGGGCCTATTGGTCGGTTCTTCATGGAATTGGTAGGAACTCCTTATGGTTCCTTTTTATTGATTGGTTCCTTTTTATTGATTATGGCTTGGTTTAGTGCTTAAGTGTATCGTATTAGCTCTTTGGAGCGCTTTGACAGGTGTGTGATGTGTTTAGAGTCGTCACCTTAATTTTTTTTTGTTTCAGGGAAAATACTAAGGGAAAAAACCTTGTGATTGACTTCAATTTTAGTTTTGCCTTTTAGGAGAAAAGCACTAGCATTGAATCATTAGGTTCGGGGACTAGGTTTTTGGCTTCTTTCAATTTGAATCAATCATTTGGGTTTTAATCAAGAAATCAAAGTATTGGCATGGATGACTGTAATTAGTACATGAGCTTACTTTTAATGCATGGCAATAAAAAAAATATAGAGCATTAAGCATTAAAAGCATAAATAATTGAAAGGATGTAATTAGGAGGGGAGCTTGACTCTAGCCTCATTTATCGAGGATTCTAGGTCATGCGACACATTCCCCTAGATCCTGACCAGTCAGTTTGTTCGAGAGCCCGCTACCTAGGCTAAAATCCGTAGGTATACCTTTGTACCTCATTTGTATAAGGATTAGGGCACACAAAGTTCTACCATTGGTTAGGATTATAGGCTTTTTTAGGATGCCACTTTAGAATGGGCTTATGAGGTCCTAGACGAACCGGGCCTGGGTTTCGGATGGACCGGGCTTGGTTTGAAAAATGATTTGGATGATTTTTCCGGATGGATGAGGCTTTATATGCAATGTTGACCATGATTTTAGCACCAGACTTTAGGAAATTCTGCTACGGATCCAACAGCGTGAGAATAAGCTAGATCGGAAGTCGTTTGAGCCTTGAACGGACTCTCGAAATTTCGAAAATCCTAAAAACAAGCCAAAAGGTTGGGGTATTAATTTTTCCTGATCAATACCGACCTCCCTAGCACTGACACGGATCACATGCTTGCCGATACTACTAGAGGCCTGTCGAGCAACCTTCACCAATGTCGGTACTGACCAGCTCGGGCTCAGCATATAAATAAGGCACTCCCACCCTCATTTTTGCTACCTCTTATTACCTGATTGAGTGCTTCTCAAGCTTCAACGATTCTATTCCTCCCTTTGTGAAAGATTCTAAGGCCCTAAATTCCGATTTTGCTCTTGTTCCTTAGTTAAACCAAAGCCTGACTTGGTACTCAAAAGTTTATCATTTCGACTTTCACTTAAACTTTGGTCATCTTTAGACCAAAGCTAAATATAATATAATATAATATTATAAGACTTAATTTGGCTCCTTGTGCCCTACCTTTGCTTTATTGGAGAAAGACTCGACCTCCTTAGTCATTTAATCAATGTGGAGCTTCGTAACTGAACACTTGCGCCCCCCAACTTTCAAAACCCTTGACCTAGGGTATAATCACTCAAACTCAATCTTTGTCAATTAAGCAAGTACATCTGACACTTTACAGCCTGTCAAGGTGGTCCTTCTAACACTCAAAATGCTTTAAGCCCGATCCATCCGGCGCACAATACAAAACTAATTTTCAATTAAAGCTCGGTCCGTTCGGCACCTTATATGCCCACTCTAAGAGTGGCACCTTTAAAACGCTACCATCCTAATCGATGGTAGAACTTCATGTGCCTGATCCTCATACAAACGACGTACGAAGGCATAACTATAGATTTCAACCTAGGTAGCGAGCCCCCGATCGAACTGACTGGTCGGGATCTAGGGGAATGTGTCGCAGGACTTACAATCCTTGATAAATGAGGCTAGAGTTGGGCTCCCCTCTGAGCTAGAGTTGGGCTCCCCTCTGAATTACACGCTTTTCAATTATGCGTTTAATGCTTT